CGAAATTGCGAAACAGAGGATAGTATGACTCATAATTTCTGGTATAGCAATAGTGTGCTTACTCTGATTTCCCTGACTTAGCTTGGAACTGTTCCTGGATATCTCTTATAAGAAGTCCATTAGCACCATGCGGTTTCTCATCTGGTTGCATCCAAGAAACAAGATTGAGGATACCATCTAAACCCAATAGTTTATTCAAGCCATTCACTTGTTTGCTTTGTGGGGCTAAAGTGTCAGAGTTCATCTTGATTTCGTCTTTTACAACTCGATCATATAGAGAGCCTAGATACTCTTCAGGTAAGTCCTTGCCGTCATCTATTCCCCGATTGTTGCGGACAAAGTCAGCTTTCGCCATCTAAACAACCATTGAAGGCATCAGAACAATTCGAACCATTTCTATATATGGACAATCTCTAAAACAGAGGTAATGAATTTTCCCATCCTATATCATGTAGAAGCTTCTAAACAGAATCCAAAATGCGATATATGAGTTCTAGAGATGATTTACACTTTAGTCTCAGAAGAAAGGAATCATACCTTATCCTTAACCATGTTGTTGTGTGCATCTGTGTTGAGCATTATCACGGAGTATGCAAGAACATAAGCAGTGTCTGCGCTTGTAAAAGAGTCAGGGTTGCATTTCCAGTAGTGTTCTGCAAATTTCTCCATGATTCGGTCTATTTTTTGTGCTTCTCCTGGTAGCCTAAAGCCGCGTAGGAAGAACCTTATTGCTTCGACAAAATCCTTCTTTTCGAAATTAAACGAGTCCACATATGCATGCATAACTTTGAGTGGAAGTTCTTCTCTTTCACCAAGATAATCACCAATCACCGTTCCATTAAGCCCTGCTGTCTTAATCAGAAACGAAGCCACTTCCTCAGGGGAACTGCCTATTTTCTTGCTGCTTATGAGGAACTCGATACCTTTCGAAGGCTTCCTATTAAACAGAGAGATACCCTTCTGCAAACCATCAGGATTATTTGTCAGTGAAGCAGAAGCATTCTAAGCATAAACTCATATATCATAAAAAAAAGCTAATATGTGCTCAAGGACTTGTAAATACTGGACCTGTAGTTCAATTTTGTACGCTCTTCGTTGCTCAAGCATTGAAGCATCATAAGCTTCGGGATTCGTATCTGGTTGCGAATCGAAGTCAGATATAGTTCCTTCTTCACCAATCTGGCTTGCATAACTGTCCATAGAAGCATAAATTTGTGATCCCTTAGGCCAAACAGTCTCATTCACTTTTAACTGCTGATCCATCCAATTTCCCATTGCCTTGACTACGTTAACCAAACACTTGACAGATTCATTCCTAAATGTACTATCTTGTCCTGGAGACAGCGTTGTCGATGAACCGGTCGGTGGTCCTAGAGCAGTTTTCAAAAGACCGTTGATAATCCTGCAATCATCTGATGGAATTATAAGAGCTTTAATACATTATATTACTCTTAACGAGCCATGCAAATTTTTGTGCAAGTTCTTAGACTAATCTAATACCTTTCAAGTATATTCGAGGAATCCACATCGCAGTCATAGTTCACAAAGATATCAACAATCAACTGCGGATCCTGCGACATTTTATCCAGCAAGTTGAGAACAGTCATCTTCTGCAAGAAACTAGGATTGAGTACATTCTCTAGCACACGGAGAACAATCATCGGAAAGAAAATGCCGATTTCCGCTTTCAATACTGATCTAAGCTTCGACAACAAGCTCATGAATATAGCACATTGCAATTGGAATATCGACATGATTGACACCGCACTGTTCTTCAATAGCGATAAGCACAAGTATTGCTTAACCGCATTGATGAAACTGTACACAGCGAAAACAGAATTAAGATCAAGCAAAGCATTACATCATGTAAAATGACTTTATATAAGTCACTAACCTTTCATTAGAGCGCCAAACAGGACCACCATTATCGACAATGACCTTAAGCAATTCCAAAGACAAAGTCTTACCTCTAACCATAATCTGATCATCGTTGTTCTCCTGCGACGAAAACCTCATAGACAATTTACACAAGTTCTTGAACAAAAGGAAAGCATCTTGCCTCATCTTACTCATATCACCACCCACAGAATCAGCTTCACCGTTACTAACATATCCTCGAAACGAAGGCGAATCCGGAGTCATAACAGTTTCAGTCTCCGGATTTGCCAACAGAATCTGAATCACATCAGGAGGAGGAAGAGGACTACCTTGTCCTGCAGCCATAACTTCATTCACAAAGCCTTGACAAAAATAAACAGAGCTACCTTCGTTAACGCTCTTATCCGTAAACGTTAATAACTCATTGACGTAAATCGTTTTCACAGAAACATCGAGCGAATCTTCTTCGGATCTTGTGAATATCACAAGCATCATCTGTGCTAATACCGATTTCGCACAGATCTGAGTCGTACCGTTTAATCCACCGAGGTAGATATTGTAACAAGTCTTCACGACGTGTAACAAACAATCGCCGCGGATCAAAACGCAAGGAGATCTGACTGCGGCGAGGAGAATCCGAAGAACGGCGAGTTGAATCGGTTCTTCGGCAATCGCGCCGACTTTAGAGACGGCGTTAACGAGCTTGAAGAGGATTGAATCTTGTTTCGATGATTGGATCTCGCCGCGGAGGATTGAGAGAGAGAAGAGTTTGAACGCGCAATCGAGAGCTGGTTCGACGACTTTTGAATAACCGGAATCGAGAGAGAAGAGGAATGGCTGGAGAACGGAATCTGCGTCGGTAGTGGAGAGTCCGGAGACGACGGAGAAAGGATCGTGAAAGTCGTCGGGAAGAGATTCGAGCTTATCGAGAACGGATTTACATGAAGAGACGAGGTATGTGTGTTTACGCCACGCTGCGTTTTTGATGATTTTGTCTAAGGAAGGACCGATTACACGGCCGCATCTGGTTGCGCCGCCGAGAGTTTGTGACGTCGACATCGCCGGAAAAAATGATCGGAGTTTTTTTTATTTAGTCCATATCGGAGCTTTGAATCGTACGTTTTTTCAATTTTTGGTAAGCGTTTTGCGTTTATATACCTTGTTGATTTGCTGAATTGGTAAAAGGCTTCCTGCTGAAGAGGGAGAGCGCGTGGGAGTCACGTGTTAAAAAAGGCGCGTCGTCATTCTTTTAGTCGTTTATTACCCACTCGTCTCCCACGTCGAAATGGTATCTATGAGCTAATCAAATGTTTTCAACAAATTTATTAATACGTAATTAAATGTTATATTGATTGTCTCTATTTAGTTGACTTCCATGAAACGTAACCGTAGTAATTATAGAAACGTAATTGCACGTAACAGTGGGAAAAGTACGTACAAGTGATTATAGTTTCTTTTTTGGTAATTTAAATTAGTCCTTTTAAGATAATTCGGTAGATTGATTCGATTATATTCCTTATGTATAATTTTAAATGATTTTTAAAGTTTTTACATACAAATTAAGAAACTATTTAATTTTCTATTTTTCAACATAAAACCGCTAATTCCAATACAATTTAACCAATAGAAAACTAATTTGCAGAATTTAAAAAGTCAAAAAAAAAAACATAATTAATTTTACTTTTAAAACTTAAAACATTATCTAATTTGAAATAACAAGATATCTCTAAAAAATCATTTAATATGATACGGAGGGAGTAGTAGATTTTAGGTGGTTATTATCCGAGGATGTGATATATATATTTGTATATATGGGGAAAGAAGATTTGTATTTGTTGATTAACGAGAATAAAATATTCGTAAACTAATAAGAAAAAAAAGAACAAAAAGTTTCTCAATTTTTTTTTTAAAAGTCTCTCAAATTAGGTTATCAATCAATCCATTGCAAGAAAAACTAACCCCACTTGTATAATTTTATAACTACAAGTCAAATGATTATTTTTGCTTTCTACATAACAATAGGCCATATATTATTGTGGATTTAATTTTAATCCAATCAAACTATTGTCTAAGACGCAAAACATATATTACTTCATTAGCTTCCTTGAGTGAGCTATTGAAAATTTTCTTTTTTTTAATCAAGTTATGTTTAATGTTTTTATTCTTCTCGTAAATCTCGTTCAAGATCATGAAGATACAAAGGTGTACAATGTAGCAATTTTTAACTCAACACAAACAACTCGTGTCACAGTTACCAATTGTCTAGAGTTTGCTGCCCAAGGAATGATAATTTTGAACTACCCAGACCAACAGTTTTTTTCCCGCTGGTGTTGTTGTGCATAAAGAGTAAGTTAGTCAAGTTGCTCATGTGCTAACAATTTGTATAGGGCAAAAGTTGGTTCAGTAGTCTTCTCTCTAAAGATATGAGAGTCTATCTCTTTCTCCAAACATTTGTAGGTGTTATAGTCTATCTTGGCAGGCTGGCGGATATTCAAACGGTTGTCTATGGTAGGAGACTAGGGGACTTTAGCAGAATAAACTTTGAGCGTTCAGTTATTCTA